TCCTCTGTCCTCCCCGGGGGGCTGCCCGGGGGCGGGGCGGGGCCTTACCCCCTGGGAATGGAGGTAGTCCATGGTCTTGGTGATGGTGCACAGCACGTCGCTGGCCTCCCGCTCGGAAAAGTACCTCTGCCGCAGGATACGGTCCAGCAGCTCCCCACCCCGCATCAGCTCCATCACCAGGTACACGAACTTCCCGTCGTCGTAGACCTGGGGGTGGGGCGGGAGAGCACACAGGCCTCAGGGACCTCGCGGTCACCCTCGCGGGCCTGCTGGCCACTGGGAAGGAGGGGCCACGCCGGCAGGGGCAGGGGGCGCGTCAGTGCATAGAGCCTGGAGTCCCAGTACTCCCCTGGGAGCAGACACAAGACTTCTGTAGAAAATGAGCGAGGATTTTCTAGTCATGCCAGACGAGGCTCTTCTTGGGAAAAAAAACAGCTTTAATGATCTGCTGCTGGGCAGGGCATGGGTCAGCAGGGCTGACAGCTGCATGGATGGATTTAGCTGCAGTGAACCCGGGTACTGCCCTGCCTCCGGAAGAGTGATGTTCAGAGACTGACAACGCGGATGCTGGCCCAGCCCCAGGTGGCAGCGTTCTCCAGGGCCGCACTTTTCAAACCTTACCGAGCAGGTTGACAGGCCAGCCGGGACCCAGCAGGTCCGGGGTTGGTGGGGAGCCTGACCCCGGGGGCCCTCTATGCTGCTGTGCCCTGTGCGGGGGACAAGCCCTGGGAGTCCGGGAGGAGACGAGGTAGGAGGGCTGGTCTGCTTTTATTTCAGAAAAGCAGTAGATAAAGAGAGCTTTAGTCATACTAGCGTTAATCTCCTGAACTTAAAAGACAAACCAAACCAACAAGCTCTGGGTCTCTGTCAGGTCGATGGCCCAGCAGAGGGGCCGCCCAAGTGCTGAGAAGAACCAGAGAGAAACGGAGCAAAGCACCTAAATACGGTGACTTTCTAGCTTCCAAGTCAGTGATTTCAGAACAAATCACTAAAACAATCTGGCTGGCATGGAGCTCAATAAAGGATGTAAAGTTCATCTTGTTGTATTTATTTCTGAGTTTATGATCAAATGCTCTACTTTCGAGAATGTGCCCAGGGTGACATCACTCATCCCAAACACAGTCAGAGCTCTTCGGGAGTTTTCAAATTCGCTGATTTCTGTTTGTGGATCTTCGCGTACACACGACAAAGGCAACAGCAAGGGGACTGATCTCGTGCAGGGGAGCTGACTGTGACCCACAGGGATGCAGCTCGGCTTCACTTTAAGCTTTGTTCACACAAGGCCTGTTTCACGCTTTCCTCAGAATTGAATTGGCATTTGGAAGGCCTCTTACTCCAGGCATTTATGGGGCCCAAAGGAAACCTAGGTGGCCCCAGTATTTTGAGGTTTTGGGTTCATGATGCTGGGATCACTCTGGGGTTGGGGAGGAAGACAAGGCTCTCTCCCCTACCTGACCCCAGAGGCCCAGCCCTAGGCCCCTATGGATGCTGCCAGGTGCATCCAACTGGCTCCAGTGTGACTGATCCCTGCTCCCTTCCCCTCTTTCAGGGACAAGGGCCACAGATCGCTCAGTTGGGAAAGCGAAGGGAGTTGGGTGGGGCTCCGGGTCTGGAGTCTCAGAGCTGGAGCCCATCTCATGGGCCCCATGCTCTCCATGACAGTGAGGAAACACACCTGGATTAGAATCCACACCAGCTCTCTCTCCTCTTTCACACGTGCACATTCTGTGATTTGGGAGGAGTGGGGTGCCATCAATGGGGTGTGAATAAACAGCCCGGCAGGTCGGGCTACCCAGCTGCCGGGTGACCCCGAGCTGTCCGGGCAGCAGCCCCTTCCGGCTCCGAGCTCCAGGGTGCCAGGAACAGCTGGTGAGCCAAGCAGCCAGCTTGCACCAAATCAACGGTGGCTTCTGGTGCCAGCCGGAGGGACACAAAGCGCAAGCGACACCACTGTTGCAAGAAGGCGCTTACGTCTTTGAGGGTGATGATGTTGGGGTGCTGGCCGTACCGCAGGAGGATCTCAATCTCTTCCGAGGGGTCCCTTTTACTCTTATCGATGATCTGAAACGAACAGAGGTGGACGTGAGGCTTCCAGCTGGCGCCTGCGGCTGGGACCCTTTCTGCCCCACCTCCCCTCCGGCTCAAGCTCAACCACGATAATCCACAACTGCCTAGTAATTCACAGCAATCCTTGCTTTCCCAATGAGCAGAAGAGACTGACATTAAAAAAAGAGAGCACCTGCCTCCAGACACTAATGTTAAGCTATGACAGGGCTGGATGGAGAAGGGAGGGTTTGGGGACCTCACACAGGCACCACCGGGAACAGAAGGAGCCCTTCTACCACTTGCAGCGCAGGCTCTGGGCTGGCGGCCTGTGCCCCCTGCCCCGGACAAAGCGGGCCTCCGGCTGCTGTGCGTCTCTCTCCCTGTTTGGTGGTCACAGGCCGGCAACAAAGTGAGACCCAGCGTGGTTCTCACCAAGAGACGCCGTGGCGGCGTGCGTGCCGAGGCTGCGCTGTGACTTACAGATACGGACGCTCCTTCTGGCTCCTATCTCCTCCTCCTGGCATGTGTAGCGCAGGTCTTAGGATGGCAGATAAAATCCTCTTACCCCATGAAAACAGATGGCTTCCAATCACAGGGTGTCACGAATGAAAGCCCAGCTGGAAACAGGGGGTCACCTGTTGGTGGATAGTCACTAAAACCTCTGGGGACAGCTTCCTGGGCCCCAGCTCCTGCTTCTTACGGGGATGGAGCTGGCCGGGGAGGGGGCCCCACTCAGGCGAAGGCTACAGCACGTGTGTGAGAAACGACACTCAGAGGAGGAGGATGGTTTTTGTGCATTAGTTTCACCCAAGTTCAAAACATTCGCCATGTGGACGACGTGCAGTCATTTCACTGCTAGAGTGTGAGGGAAGTTCACTTCCACTCTCTATCACGTCCAAGGCTCTGAGCGGAGGCCTGCGTGAAACTCACTTTCTTCTTTAGATGAACTAAATGCTCGGGTGGCACAGGACCCAGTGTTGGAGCTCTGCCCGCCCGACGCCCTGCCGCCCCTTCACTGCAGTGGAAGACGGTCACGGTGCCTGTGCTTCTCTCAGTTTTAAACCCACTGCCAGGCTCTGACGACATCGGCGCCCGGGACCGTAAGCCCCATGACACACGTTGTTCAACAAGGAAAAACCCAAGCTTCCTTTTTTTTTAAAAAATAAACTTATTTATTTTTTGTCTATTTTTGGCTGCATTGGGTCTTTGTTGCTGCGCGCGGGCTTTCTCTAGTTGCGGCGAGCAGGGCTACTCTTCACTGCGGTGCGCGGGCTTCTCATGGCAGTGGCTTCTCTTGTTGTGGAGCATGGGCTCTAGCCACGTGGCTTCAGTAGTTGTGGCATGCGGGCTCAGTAGTTGTCGCTCGTGAGCTCAGTAGTTGCGGCACATGGGCTTAGTTGCTCCGCAGCATGTGGGATCTTCCCGGACCAAGGCTCGAACCCGTGCCCCCTGCATCGGCGAATTCTCAACCACTGCGCCACCAGGGAAGTCCCAGCTTCCTTTCTTGACACAGCTTTCCTCCTTTTGTTACTAAAGTTCTAGCTAGGACACTGGGATTACTTCTGTTATTGATAGAAGCCAACACACAATGCATCCTTCTAGAGATTTTTTTAAAGGCTCATTCAGTGGGTGATGGAGGGGATGCCTTGACATGTGGACGCCTAGGCGGCCATGGGGCAGATCCTTACACTGCCTGGATCACATGTTGACCAACAGGGTTCTAGGACCGTCTCTGCCCCAGCTGCCTGCCGGGCCATTCAATCCCAGCAGCAAGTTCTGTTCAGACCCAGCGCAGTGATCCTGATTGCTGTCAGCAGAGGCTGGCAGTTTTTATCCACAAATCTTTCTCCGGGATGTTTTTGGGAGAAGGGTCAGGAAGAAGTGACACAGAGCAGTGAGGTGTGATGACTGGTCCCTGAGCACAAAGCCCAGGTCTGTGGGGTACAGGAGAGCCGGGGGGAGGGGGGGCGGTTTGAGCACATTGTTCAGACACATCCAGGAAGGAATTTCTCCATGGGGTCCATTTCTTGGGATTGCTACTGTGGGACTGGCTTCTAGTTCAAGCGAGCCCTGGTTAATCGAGTCCCGTATTTTGAGAACAGTATTGTTTTATAATCTTGCTTATGCAGCAAAACCGAGGGAGGCGTTCTCAGCAAACATGTTCACCTGCAAGGCCTCCTCTCTCCATGACGATGCTCAGATGATGCTGACGGACCACAAGCGGGGAGGAACGGTGGATCTGTCCTCACCCGCAGCAGGAGGCCACCCACAGGTCAGCACCCAACGGGGCTGGCAAACCAGACTCTCACGGGGCTGCTGTTTGACAAGCTGTATATTTCCATAGTCCGTGAAGCAAGTCTGGCCCCAACAAAGGATGGCAGACAACGTGATTCTCCTCAGCAGGTGAAGCGGGCAGGTGAGTATCGGTACATCCTTATTCCTGGTGGCTGAAGGCGGGGGCAGGACTGGCCCAGGCTTCACTACATCCACACACTCTCCCCTCTGCCTTTTGGTCTCTGCGTTTCCCCATCTCCCTCTTCCCCATCTCTCTCCAGCACAGGCTCCCCTCCTGGACACTGAATGGCGTGGGGCTTCGAGGTGGACAAGAGGTGGCCTGAGCTCACAGGCCGGCCGAACACCCTCCGGAGACGGGCGTTTCTGCTGACGTGTCGCGAGGATCGATATATTTGACACGAGAGGAGTATGTAAAATTCAACAGATACCCTCTTCTGTTCAATTACTTTAAACAAATGACACAGAGAAAGGACTCCAAGTTTTCCTGCCGGAAAAAATTAAAATTTCCATGCCAATCAGTTTTCCTTCTAAAAATAAGCTCTATTCACGTCAGGCATCTGTCAATTCCATTGCTTTTTCTGGTTGAAAAATTACATACACAGTAGGAAAATGAGCCCAGAAACGCGATGTAATTGTCAACGGTCTGCTGTGAATACAAATTGGGGCTCCTTCTGGAGAGAGCCAGCCCAGCTTCAGCCCTGAGTGTATCAGCCACACTTCACTAAAATTAAGGACTGCATGACACAGACTCTTGTACAATTTCAAGGATCTCGCTTTATTTTCACCTGATTCTATTGCTACTTTAATAACACAAAAATCTGCTCCTGAAAGGACACTCAGCTGTGCTTCCCTCCAGGAAAATGTGGTCACGGCTGGTGACATCCATCCAACCATCCCTGAGTGAGCCTCTCAGAAAAAGACGGAGCCAAACGTGCAAGTGGCGCTTTGAATGAAGAGAAGCGTGTGTCTGCACGTTGGAAGATAAAACAGGCCAACAGGAAAGGCTACAGCGACAGAAAAGCTCCCTTAGCTTCTGATTCTTCAGTGACATTCCCCTTTTTGCTATGGCTTCTGGTTCTGTGATCAGTAAAATCCCTCCATGGCTGGATTGTGAGTTCCCTGAGAACAGGTTTGTTTTTGCCTGGAACCTAGCCCTGCGTCTGCCTCGGAAAAAGCGTTAATAAAAAATTTGTAAAAACGAATGAAAGGAACTGGGTACTGAATAGGGGAGTCCCTGCAGAATGAAATGCATTCTAGAGACAAGAAATGTTCTTTGGAGCAGTCGTACTGCCCACTCGACAATAAAAAAGCCAAAGAAGGGGATGAGGTGATTTCGAATTTGAAGAAAAGCTCCTGATTTATCTCTCTCTCTCTCTCTCTCTCTCTCTCTCTCTTTTCCTTTTTTTTTGGCTGCACCACTCAGCTTGTGGGATCTTAGTTCCTCAAGCAGGCACTGAACCCAGGTCCCGGCAGTGAAAGCGCGGGATCCTAACCACTGGACCACCAGGGAACTTCTGGTATTTTTCTCTCTTAAATAACATTGGTCCTCGACACCACCAAGCACCATGACGGGGGTGTGGAGACAGGAAATGAGCTGCGAAGCATGTCAGGGGTTACAAAAGCCCTAAAGAAGGTACTGAAGGCGAGGACGATTGGGGAGGACCACATCGGCATCAGAGGTCAGCACCCACGCTGGGGAGGGAAGTTCTAGGCTCAGGGAAGAGTGTGTCGCCCTTGCGGGAGAGGGCTGGGGACAGAGGAGGGGCCTGAGGAGCTCCAGAGACGGGGCTGCGAGGCCCTGCTGGCCACGGCAAGGATCTGGGCTCCATGTGAGCGAGACGGAAACCACTGGAGAGGGGGGTTTGTGCAAATGGCAGTGTTTAGAAGTAAATGCACTGCAAATGGCAGTGACAGACCTGATCATGTCAAGCCACAAAGACCTAAAACCGAAGTAAAAATGAAACCTTGTGCAATTTTTGTAAAGTGAGTACAGAACCTTTCATGAAATAAGAATATTATCTTTTCCTTCCAAACACACCTCTCCCCTTTGAATCCTACTCTATCACGGTTACTTTCTGCAGTTCATCGTTGATTCCATTTCAGTCTTATTTTAAATGACAGGTGCATTAATGCCTTGGCATCTATGCAGCATGATGTCATGCTTATTTCAAAGTCCCATACACTTTCACCTCCTACCACTAGCCTCTGGGGCTGGCTATGAAGACAAAGGTGGACCTGAGTTTCACATTAGACTCCTGAGCTATTTTGTCCCATGGAAATAGCTCCGAGAGCTTGTTTGGAGGTTCTAGCAGGGGAGCGCAGCTACTCGTATACCCTTGACCGAAGAACGGTCCTTCTCTATCGGGGAAGGTCGTCCTCTTCGACCGAGCACACAGCTTCGGGAGGGACGCACATGGAGCGGTGAGGGAGGAAGGAGACACCCGCCTAGCCAGCCAGATCAGCCGAGTCAACCCTGGCGATCAATGGGGTGACAGATGTCGCAGCCAGATGGACTTGAGGATATGGGGAGGGGGAAGGGTAAGCTAGGACGAAGTAAGAGAGTGGCATGGACATACGTACACTACCAAATGTAAAATAGAGAGCTAGTGGGAAGCAGCCGCATAGCACAGGGAGATCAGCTCGGTGCTTTGTGACCACCTATAGGGGTGGGATAGGGAGGGTGGGAGGGAGGGAGACGCAAGAGGGAAGAGATATGGGAACATATGTATGTATAACTGATTCACTTTGTTATAAAGCAGAAACTAACACACCATTGTAAAGCAATTATACTCCAATAAAGATGTAAAAAAATTAAAAAAAAATAAAAGAAATAGCTCCGAGATCTTAGAAAGTAGGACACATCTGTTCACTGGGATGTGTCTGAGAGGACATCACGGTTTTTCTCACTCAGCCATCCTAGCCCAAGGCAGATGCACTGGGGGTACAGCCCCAGCAGGTGGAGGGCGTCAGCATCCTGTCCTCTGAGGCCAGATTCTCCCGGTGGAGGATCCCGGGCAGCCTGATGGTGTTTTGCCACAGCAGAAGGGAGGCACCAAGCCTAGTGACCCAGACTCTGAGTGAACCCACACTTACTGAGTCGCTATTCCATGTAGGCACTGCCCTAAAGGTCTTGTTAAGTGGTAGCTAGAACTGGTCTCACTAATTTAGGACCTGTGCATAAATATGCAGCTGAGAGCAAATGCCAAACCAGCAACCTTGTTGCCTGGGAATACACTGGGGTAGGTTGCTTTAAGTATATCGGTTAAGTTGAACTCAGATGCGGTTAATATGATGACAGAATAATTATTGTGCAAAATTAGGTGCTTATAAGACAGACATAAACTTAAAGCAAAACACAATGGTATTTCCAAGAATGTGAGACCCGCTGTATCCCACACCCTTGAGTCTGGAGGCTGACCGTTAAGGGCTGGCACTGCCGTCCCTTCAGAAGGACCGCACTTGGATTCCTGCCCCTGCACAGAGGGTGGGAGCTGCTGTGCTCTTGGTCTATTACCTTCCTGCTGCCAGAACAGTGAGCAGAGGCTCAACAGAGAGGGAAAACCCTACCTCATCTCCGGATACCAGCTGCTGGAACTTATCTACATAAGATACCCCTTTAACTCTATGCTTTCGGCTGGGGTTTCCAACCTCGGCACCCAGACATTTTGGCTGGGTGAGTCTCTGGGGTGTGTGGGCGGGCGTCCTATGCAGGAGGCAGGGCAGCACCCTGGCCTCTGTACACCACACACCAGGAGCGACTCCCACCCCAGGTGTGACAATCAGAAGGTATCCAGACACTGCCAGCGTCCCCGGGGTGGGGGGCAAAATCACCCCGATACGACAGCCTCAGGCAAAGCCCATGTACTCGGGCCACAGGGCTGCAGTCCCCTGGGGACCTGCTCTCTTCCTGGTGCTCTGTACTCAGTGGGGAAGTTCCCGAACCCTCCCTGTAGCTGGATGGAGGCCCCAACGGGATTGTCTCTCAAAATGAAACGGACACTGCTTTCCATCCAAGAATCTGCAGAGCTGGGTTTGCAAACTGTGGTGGCCCAGAGAGGTGATGCTAAACTCTAGTGGCTGATTCTCAATGGGGCTTTTACGGATCCACTCTCAGCCAAGTCACTGAACGGCACCCTTGGTTCCGTGTTATATTCAAGAACACGCTGAGCCATGCAGTTTCTTAGGTCCTCCATCAGTAAGTGGGGTACTGCTGCCCATCAAGATACAGAGTAGAAAAAAGCCCAAACACGTTTCAGCTACGTTCTACCCAGAAGACGCTGGAAAGGGAACAGAACAGTGACCCTGGGTGGGTTACAGCAGTTAGGGCAGCAAACAGGCTCATTCTAAACACTCTTTACCATGGCACTCCTGTCAGCTCTTCCATCTTTGAAGGAAATCTGCCCTCGGATGGATGAACCAACCTGCAGCGAGCGGCTTAAAACGTGCCCCGAAACAGCCCTGGGTCCCGGGGCACTCATCTCACTGGAAAGTCTCTGCTTCTTCCTGTGCTCGGGTAGTTCAAGCATCTTCCAGACTATGAATTATGACCCACCAGAGTCCCGGAGAGGATGAGGGAAAGCCTTGTAACGTCCACCTGCCCAGTTCACCCCGGGAACTTCAAGGCTCGTAAAACAGAAACAGGACGCCTGGCTCGCTCTTTCTCCATCAGTTGCAGCCACAGCTCCTGGCTTTGTTGCCAGAGAGGCCGGGGCTGAAATTCCCCAGAAATTCCCATCGTGGGGTCTGATCTTTGGGCATCGAGTTATAAGCCACTTGCTGACAAAGCTGATTCAGATGGTGTTTTTTTGTGAGAGCTGGATATGGAGACATAAGACACTATTGCCTTTGTCTGGGGATTTATTTTCAGACACCTCCCAGCACCAGGCTGTTTTCTAGAAAGGCATCAGGGTCAGCGAGCTTGCCAAACACTAGACGGGTTTCTTTGCACTCAATGGAAGCCGCAATTGTTTCTAGGACTGCTGCTGGTCACCTGATAAACTGTCTAAAGAAATTCTGCGAGAAATGACACATGCAGAAAGAATTTTAAGATGCCTACGCACGCTTACAAAGTATGTGAAATACATTTAAAGTAAAATGAAATTCTCTCGTCTGAGGCAGGACGAGGGTCTCCTCTCCATCACTGGCTCGTCTGGGTACGGGAACGGCATCACCCGAGCTCCCCTACAAACTCTCCCAAGGACAGGAAAAAATAAAATTCCTCAACGATCCAAATCCCAAAATACATCAGGCCCACATGCCAGTGGCTCCCGTGCAGTCTCAAGCCCCCTCTCCCAGGAATTTTAAATAGTGCGATGTTTCCTTCCGTCACCCACGCCTCAGCGTGTTTGAGACACTGGGCAGGCTGATGACCATGGACCCAAAGGACCCACACACTGAGCCTTCCTCCAATGTAAACATTATTTTTTGTTTGAGCAATTCAAGATCAACTTGCCAAAAAGTCTCAAATTCCCAACCCAAAAGTAAACCAATGGGCCTGCGTTTTTGGGGGCTGGTGACTTTTTGGACAGGGCAGAGCATTTTCTCAGGGCCAGAAGCACCGGGCAGACATCCCAGTGGATACGAGGGTGTATCTGCTTCCACAGAGCGGCCATGAGCTGTGGGTGAGGTGGAACGAGGTCATCGCTTCATCGTCACTGTTTTGAACAATTTTCTCAGAGCTTAGGAAAATCACAACGGACGGAATGACTCCTCTTACACGGCTGCCTGCTGGACAGGCTCCATCTGTCCCCAAAAGTTCTTTGAAGAGCAGGGTAGTGTCATATGCTCCAGATGAGTTTGGGATAAGCCAGGATGGTCTGGTCACCATGACACCACCGGCGGGACCTGGGTCCTCAAGCGCCTCCAGGTCAGCTGAGTGGGTGACTGGTGGACAGACCAGCTCTCACTCCCTTGGAGGGAGAATGTACAACTTATGCTTTTTACAAAAATTAGATTATGACTTTAGCAGAATGCTTCAGCTTTTACGCACCAGGAAACGCAAGAAACTGGTAACTTGGATTTCCAGATCAAATATTTAATTTAGCAACGATTACAGAAGCCGACGGCAGGATGGAGAGAGTGCCAAACTGGGCTGTAGTTGTTATTCTTTTCTTATGTATTAATTTATTTATTAGGCTGCACTGGGTCTTAGTAGCAGCACGTGGGATCTTAGTTTTGGCATGCGGGCTTCGTGGCGGCATGCATGCGGGATCTAGTTCCCCGACCAGGTATCAAATCCGGGCCCCCTGCATTGGGAGCACAGAGTTTTACCCACTGGGTTAGAGAAGTTCCTTGTTACTGCTTTCTGTTCTTGATGATTCAGGGTAAAACTACCAGCTCTCTCCTTAAGGTTTTGCAAATATTACAAAATATTCGATTCTATTTATTTCTTTGATGTAAGTTTTGGTGACTGTAGCTTCCTTTCCCTTCTCCTTTCCTCCTTCCCCCACTCCCTCCTTTTCCCCTCCCTCCCCAAATGTTCTGCCTGGCCCCCAACTCTATATTTTCCAAAATGCTGAGTGCCCAGAGCTTTTGTTCCAGCGTGTTTTATGTAGAAAGTTACTAAAGGTGGTCAGTACCTACACGTCGGCTGGAGCAGAACATATTCATGATTTGCAAAATAGTTTTTTAATGGGTGACCTAATATCAAAGTTAACGGAACGGCCCCGCATCAGAGCTTAGAAGAGGCCGAGGGAGAGTGTCTGCGAGGCTGGGCGTGCCCACCGGGGCCTGGGGCCTGGGCAGCTGCAGATGCGGCCGCCGCATGCCCCACTCTTACCTTCACGGCGTACTCGGCGTCTGTGGCCATGTGCACACAGCGCTTGCATACGGAGTAGGCGCCCACCCCGATGTCCTCCTTGACCTCATAGCCATCGGTGAAGCGGGTGTTGTTCCCGTGTAACTGCTGCAGAGAGAGCGGGCGGGCAGAGAGCGCGATCAGGGGCCTCTCGTGCAAGGGCACCGAGTGTGGTGCAAAGGAGGCTTCAACCCTTGCACGTGGGGACACGGAGGCCAGGAGGTGGTGGCGTCCTCGGACCACAGTCACGGAGCTAGCTGGCCGTGGTTCCAGATCTCAACCCAGCTTCCCCATCTGTCGGGTCAGGACCCTGTTCTCAGACACCCAGCACCCTGTGTTGGCTGACCTGCCTGCTTCCCCACAAAGGTCCAAGAGAGGTGAGAGGTCAGACGTCCCTGAGACAGGGTGCAGCTCTGATGCTGGTGTCCAGAGCAGTGTCCGGATGCCGACGTCTGACTGGGAATCTGACCCCGACGCCCCCTCGCCACCCTCACCCTACTGACTAAGGGCGCAGAGAGCGTCACCCATTACAGTGGACGCTGCCACAGCAAGTGTCCACTCTAAACATGCCGTGTCTCCACGGAGGCCCTTGGGGAGAGAAACATGGAAGTCCAAAGCCATCCGCTGTGCCCTGCCTCGGCTCTTCAAGGAAACGTGGTCATGATCCCTTCTGAGATTCTCTACGTCTGCTCGCATTTATACGGTGGGAAACTCCTTATAAAAACAGCACCTTCACTGAGCCCCGAAGACTACATTTCGAGATGGGGATTGGTGCCCACAAACCCAGCCACTCTCTCGCGGTGCTGGCTCGACTGTGCACAGCAGAGACCCCCAAGCGTGAGCCCTGCTGGGTCTCCAGCCACAGCCACACCACGATGACATCCTTCTCAGGACTCTTTCTGTCTTGAGGACGAACGTGAAGCACGGCTCAGATCACCATCTCAATGACCCCGGGGAGGCGGGGGGGAGGAGTTCACAAAGGAAATGCACCCCAACTCGGCTGAGACAGCTCTCAGTCCACGCGTCGCCTCAGTGCGGCCACCTCCTTGCCCCAACCTGCCAGGGGCGAGCGGAGTCGGGCTCTACGGGATGCCCTGCACCACGGGGGGCTGATTACCTGCACGATGGGGTGAACCGCGGCTTTGTGCAGATCTTGCTGCGAGGGCTCCTGCGCCAGGCTGGAGGCCACAAAACTGAATCCTCTAAACAGATGATGAGCGTTGGCACTGGGGGGGACGCCAGGTGAGTCTGCAGGAAACAACCAGAGAGTCAACAGCCACGACGTGGTGAGGTAACCCTGTGGGTGTGTGATGTGTGCGCGTGTGTGTGGTGTGTGTGTGCATGTGCATGCACGCACATGTGAATCTCTGTGATGTGTGCATGTGTGTGTGTGTCAGGTGTGAGGTGTGCGTATGTGCATGTGCGTCAGGTGTGTAAGGTGTGCATGTGTGTGAGGTGTGTGCATGCGTGTCAGGTGTGTGTGCATGTGTGTGTCAGATGTATGTGTCAGGTGTGTGAGGTGTGCATGTGTGTTAGGTGTGTGTATGTGTGCGTGGTGTGTTTGGTGTGTGCGCATGTGTATGTGTCAGGTGTGAGGTGTGTGTATGTGCATGTGTGTGCATATGTGTCAGGTGTCTGTGCATGTGTGTGTCAGATGTATGTGTCAGGTGTGTATGTGTCAGGTTGTGCACATGTGTTCGGTGTGTGTCAGGTGTGTGTGTCAGGTGTGAGGTGTGTATGTGTGTGTCAGGTCGTGCACACGTGTGTTTGGTGTGTGAGGTGTGTCAGATGTGTGTATGTGTCAGGTGTGAGGTGTGTGTGTCAGATGTGTGTGTCAGGTGTGAGGTGTGTATGTGTCAGGTTGTGCACATGTGTTCGGTGTATGTGCCAGGTGTGAGGCGTGTGTCAGGTTGTGCACGTGTTCGGTGTGTGTGTCAGGTGTGCGCGCACGTGTTTGGTGTGTGTCAGGTGTGAGGTGTGTGTCAGATGTGTGTATGTGTCAGGTGTGAGGTGTGTGTCAGGTGTGAGGTGTATGTGTGTCAGATGTGTGTATATGTCAGATGTGAGGTGTGTGTGTGTCAGATATGTGTGTCAGGTGTGAGGTGTATGTGTGTCAGGTTGTGCACGTGTGTGTCAGGTGCGTGCGCACACATGTGTTTGGTGTGTGTGTCAGGTGTCAGGTGTGTGTATGTGCATGTGTCAGGTGTGTGTCAGATGTGTGTATGTGTCAGGTATGAGGTGTGTGTGCATGTGTCAGGTGTGTGCATGTGCGTGTGTCAGATGTATGTGTCAGGTTGTGCACGTGTGTTCGGTGTCAGGCGTGTGCACACGTGTGTGTCTGGTGTGTGTGTGTCAGGTGCGAGGTGTGTATGTGTCAGGTTGTGCACGTGTGTTCGGTGTCAGGCGTGTGCGCACGTGTGTTCGGTGTGTCAGCTGTGAGGTGTGTGTGTGTGTGTGTGTGGTGAGTGTGTGTGTTGGAGAATGAGATGACACGGAGCTTACACAGAGGCTGAACCATATGAAACCACACTTTAATCTGGGTGGTGCCAGTGGTTTGATACACGGCAAAAATACCCAGCACAAACACTTGAGGGTAATCATTGATCATCACCTACTAGATGTTCATCCTCAGTGGCAACCCTCTACCCTGCGCACTCCAGACCGAGCCCAGAGCCACCAGCAGCCTCGGGGTGAGCTGTCACTCCTGGGCCAGGGCAGAGGAGGCCACCCTCTGAGTTTCTCAGGCCAGCAGGAACCAGGCACAGGGACGCAGGCCCGGGCACTGGTGACTCTTCTGTCCCCCCTGCCCCAGGCCTGAGGAGCTCGAGGGCAGCACGCAGGGTGCTCTGCTCCCAGGGAGCCTCAGGGAGCCCTTCAATCGTGACCCCTCTAAGCTCTGTCGATTTGTTTGAAGGCTTGACTGCTGTTGAGATGGGTCCCAGTTCAAGTTTATCATTAAGGAAAACAAAAGGATAAGAGATTGGTGGAGAGAAAATATTTGCATCATATACAACAGACAAGGGACCAAACTCTCTACTATGCAAAGAGCTCCCAGAGATCAATGAGAAAAAAGGAACATGCCCAGAAGAAAAATGGGGGCAGGACTCAGATACCGACTGCTCTCCTACCTGAGAAGGTGCTCAGTCCCTCTAATGGGGGCCCGTACACATTTAACTGGGGTAACACTTTGCCTAACAAATTAGCAAAATGTAAAGTAACCAGCTGCACGTAGGTTTGGCTGCGGCTGGACATTGCAGTGGTAGGTGGGAGCCTAAGCTGCCATAATCTTTGCAAGGTAAAAGTGGAGTTATCTACCAAAGTATAAAATACACCTGTCTTTTGAAGAGCAACTCGACTTCTATGAACTTATCTGACAGAATTACTTTCTTTTTTTTTTTTTTATTTTATTTTATTTTATTTTTATTTTTTTTTAACATCTTTATTGGGGTATAATTGCTTTACAATGGTGTGTTAGTTTCTGCTTTATAACAGAGTGAGTCAGTTATACATATATATATATGTATGACAGAATTACTTTCAAAAGTGCTTAGAAATAAACGTAGAAAATGTTTGTCTTGGTGTAGATATATACTGATACAATGGCATATTACTCAGCCTTTAAAAAGAATAAAATAGTGCCATTTGCAGCTACACGGTGGACCTAGAGATTATTATACTAAGCAAAGTAAGTCAGAAAGAGAAAGACAAATACCATATGGTATCACCTGTATGTGGAATCTAAGATACGACACAAATGAACCTATCTACACAACAGAAACAGACTCACAGACATAGAGAACAGACTTACTGTTGCCAAGGGGAAGGGGGGGGTGGGGAACAGAATTACTGGGAGTTTGGGGTCGGCAGATGCAAACTATAATACGTAGAATGGATAAACAACAAGGTCCCACTGTATAGCACAGGGAACTATATTCAATATCCTGTGATAAACCATGATGGAAAAGAATATGAAAAAGAAAATATATGTATGTATAGCTGAGTAACTTTGCTGTACAGCAGAAATTAACACAACATTGTAAATCAACTATACGTCAATAAAATTTAAAAACAAACAAAATATGATCTTTAAAAACTCTAAAAAAAGAGAAAAAAATGTTTGTCTTAGCAATATTTGTAATAGCAAAACAAACAAACAAACAAACAAAAACTGGAGACAACCTAAATATTCACCACTGAGGAAACCATGCACAAGACCAACAACGTTCATGCGTGCAGGTAACACTAGTTAAGACTACGATACCCGGGATGAGACAAGGCTGTGTGAACTGACACAATAGTCTGTCAAGTCAAAAAAGAGAAAACAAGCTGTAGAACGTACACACTGTAGGAAAAAAAATTTTTTTTAATTTTTGAAAACTTTTTTTTAACATCTTTATTGGAGTGTAATTGCTTTACAATGGTGTGTTAGTTTCTGCTGTATAACAAAGTGAAATCAGCTATATATGTACTAAAACACATTACAATAAACTCATAAGCAATATATAACAATATGATAACATAAATTCTATCACTTAGGCATTTTATATATATATATATAAATCTATAATAATACATAAAGTATATATAACGTGGATTTAAATTTTTCTTACAACGTACATATGTAAGATTTAAATCCATATTATATAGAAAACTCCGGCGAGTGGGACTGGAAAGGCCACAGGAGTGGGTGTTTGCTTTTCTACTTTTTACCTTTTTACTTGGTCTTGATACGTCACTTTGATGTGGAAACAATACACTAAAGCTTTCATGGTGGAGCAGGTGGCTGGGGGCTTGGAGGGGTGAGCTGTTGCAGAGAACGTGGGTTTTATTCCTGAGCATTTTATTTTGAGGGAAAGGCGACTGGGGCGCCCTTCCACACCTGGGAGCTACACCACGAGCTGCGTGATGTGGGAGCTCTCCTTGCAGATAAGCGGCCGACCCGGTGGCCCACACGGCTCTTCCAGGGAGACCTTGCCAGGTGACAGGAGGCTTCACGTGCCTGGACCACCGCACCTTCAGCACCTTGGACCACGAGGGAGAGGACTCGGGTCTCAGCCCCGTACCTGTTACCTCGCAAAGAGCTCCAGAGTCACCCCGGAGTTAATGAGATCAGAGCTGACTGTGTTTGGAAATAAGCTGCTAGGCTAGAGAAGCTTAATTAAAAAGCATAAGGCTCGGCTGAGCCATTTTTAGAATTTGGAAATGATGCACCGCAAGACAGCAGAGGCAGCAAGTGTGCTCTGAAGATGCTGGGCTTTGCTCCCAGGCTGGCTTTGCACTTTGCCTTGCTTTGCCCTGCAGAGAACCCTGGCTTTGAGGTCTGCCTGCTCTTAAAAATCCCCCAGGCTACTGTGTCCTGCCCTAGGTCTGCACCAAGCACAGGGATATAGCATCGATTCAGCCACCGTCAAGCCCCGAGGTGCAGGTTTTAGATGGAAGAACTGGAGCCCATCCCAGGAACTAGTGTGAGCTGTGCATAGGTTGAGGGCCGAGTGCATGGAGGCTCAGTTACAGCACCTGGGAGTGTGCGCGTGGTGGGGAGGTACCGTCCGGTGAACTTGAACTGATACACCTTCCCTAGAGAATGGAAAGTCTGTAGATCAAATAAGCAAGGACTTTCAACCACCAAGGAGGCGTGGAGCCCAGGGCCACGCCTTCTGTGCCCGGGCTGCCTCTCCCGGCTCAGACCAAGAGATCAGCTGAGGTTCACGAGAGGTTGTCACAGCCAACATTGGGTCCGTGTAGCTAGATGGTGACCACGTGGTAGGTGGTATCAATGGCATTTAACACGCTTTATAACTGGCTAGGGAACGCCGATTCTTAGCTCAGTACTGAGAGAAGAGCAAAGATGTGAGTTGGATGAAAGGAAGTTTAAAGCTGAGTACAGTCAACCTTCATTGATCCTAGGAGTGATTTCTGACTCGTGCAAGACGTTTCTGGGTCTTTAAATCTTAGAGTGGCTTCTCCCACCGGTCAGCAGGCTCTGATGGGCAGCTGGTGTGTCTTCAGGGAATATCCACCAGCTTTAGCATCGGTTTAAGTTAAAAAAGAAAGACTTTAAGGCCACTACAAAAAATTCCGACAGTGCAGCATCCGAGTCTAACGCAGGATGTGGATTATCCGCTGTTTCAGAATCACATCACCTCTGCTGCCCTTTAAGAGCCGTGCGCTCCGCTCGTGTGCTTAGAAAATTCTACTCTCTTATAAATATAGAGAGAATGATTTTTCTGTGTCTCGGCACTTCAATTACTACCTCCTCAAAGGCAAACTGTGTCCTGCAATAAGTTGACTTTAAGTACAATTGATTGGAGAAATCCAAATAACAAGGAGTAAAAAAGCCATTTCTGGACGTCATTAAAACGCATTGTGTCTAATTACGTTTTCCTTCGGCTAATAATAAAATAAATTTGAATTCTCTGTGCACAAAAGGTTCATGAGGTGCTAAAAAAAAAGCCTGCTAACCACACAGGCCGACTAGGTCGGAGTTTAAATTCTTCACAGATAACACAAAAAGCATGTAAAGGTGAACAATTTCGAGTTGACTGTATGAGCATTTTCTTGTCAGGCAGCACAAACATGGTCTTTATTTCAGTATTTTAAGCACAGAGTTCCGAATGACGGAAACCCTCGGTGAAACAGTGCACATTTCATTAAGGACCGGGAGGTCATGTGGGTGGTGGTCACAGGCAGTGTCCTTTGTCAGGGTTAATCGTTTCTGTGTTCCTTTACATTCAGGTAAACCACAGGAGGAGAAAGAAAGCGACCTGCTCAGGTGAGCTGTGGGCACACCCGGGATGGAATCCCCAATCCTTCCCCATCTTTCCAAACTCTGAAGCTAAAAAGTAATCCGATTCTGTGAAGTGGTCAATTTTGTCAACAGAAAGGACTGACTCCAACACCCGAGGACTTTCTGAGGCCGTTGAGAACTGGAGAAACATGGGACCGTCTCTACTGGAGAGGACAGACCTAGATCTCCACCTTCTCGGCAGCCACGGTACATCTCGCAGCAGCGATTACCCCAGACTGTGACAGCAGGCATCACTCTAGCTCTGTCCCTGAGGACGGTCTTAGTTTTATGTGGGGGCTGCACGAGGACCCGAAAGAAATGACTGAGCGTCTGCGTCCCGACTCCCTCATTGATAGCTCCCAGCATTTGCTTCTTTCTTGGTCCTGGAGCCCCTGCTGCGTGGGTCAGGAGATGCCCTGGGACCACCAGCGGCCCCATGGATGCCCCCAACCCTCTGTGTTTGCACAGAGCTCACACCCCTAATGTGCCCGCCCCCGGCGTGCGGGACACAGGCTCTCACCAACAGCTTAAACCAGAGAGCGCCCAGTGGATTCTCTGTTGCAACTTTATCTACTTGATATTTTCTACCTGACCATCTATTTGTTTCATGATCCTTTTTTAATCACAGAAAATTTTAGTTGCAATAACAGTGAGAAAAGCATGGGAACCCCCCATGGGCACATCACACAGCCCCAAGAGCTACCAACTGGCTGAACTTTTCCCACCCTTATCTCCAGAAGGGGCATGTTAATTTGTGTTTTAGACAAGATCACCATACCTTCACTGGGGTGAACTGAACCGTGCCCCACAAAATTCACGTGTTGAAGCCCAATGTGGCTGTATTTGGAGAAGGAGTCTTGCGGAGGGCAGTTAAGGTTAAATGAGGTGATGAGGGTGGGACTCTGATTCAGCAAGATTGATGTCTTTACAAGAAGAAGGGACCCCAGGGACTTCTCTCCCCCTCGAGCACAGAGTAAGGCCATGTGAAGACACAGAGAAGGAGGCCGTCTGCAAGCCCAGAAGAGAGCTCTCACGGGAAACCAAGATAAATTTCTCTAGTTGAAGCCGTCCAGTCTGTGGTATTTTGTTATGGCCACCTGGGTAGACTAGGACAATTACCATATCTAAAAAAGGTTAATATTAATTGATCCATATCACAAAATGAAAATTTTAAAGGGAGCTGACCAGTTCTGATTGAATTTGGTAGACCTTAGGAGTAATTTAAGACGTATCATAGAGGCTAAATACACAAGTCCATCTGCTGTGCCGAGATACAGTAGCTGATGCAACTTTTCAAACAGGTGTTTGTTTTTTTGTATGAATAAGAACAATAGTCCACACATTAACAGACTTAACCGACAGGCTCCCTCTTCCCATAAAACCTCCCTAATTAAACAAGAGATTTTCATTGTCTTGAGGTTCTTTTCTCGAGCTTGCCCAGGTGTGTCCCTCTGACAGGTGGTCACTGGATTGACAACTTAGGCCCAGAGGCAGCATGAGGTGGGTGGGGGATACAGAACACCTGGGAAATTTCCCAGCTGGGTGTTACCTGGGGGCTAACTGATAAGTGGTTCTATCACAGTAAGTCTTTACTATGAGCAGAGAAACAAGAACGTCAAACAGAACTGAGGACTATATCCCATGGAAGTGCCCTTGAACATGGCGCTCTCTGGCTCCTGGATGCCTTAAACCAGAGAGCACCCAGTGGATTCTCTGTTGCAACTTTATCTACTTGATATCTACCTAGCCAGGCTGGAGGACCCGCCATGGGAAAGACACACCCCCGCCCCCATCTCCCTGCCTGCACACACCTGTGGGCGTCCTCGCCGTGAACTCGGGGTCGAAGTGGAAGGTGTCCTCTGGCCTGCCCACCGCCGGCTTGAAGGGCGGCTTGATCTCCTTCCTGTACAGCTTCTGCGTGGACAGCAAGACAGGGCGCTGAGGGCCAGCAGGGAGAATGCGGGCGGGAAACCCACCCGTGCCACCTGCCAATCAGGTGCCAGCACACGGCAGCCCCTCCCAGAGCTCTGACACGTTTAGTAACACACATAAAATATGATATATATTGTATACGACATAGAATATAGTTACATAGTTTATAAAGAGACATAAAAGCCATAGTTCGAGGGAAAAGGGTTTGGGGACATCTAAGTATTCTTGATTTTAGGGCAAATGGTTTTCAACCTCTTTTGGGCAGCAGAAGCTTCTTCAAGTAACAGCTGACAGGACAGCTACGCCCTGCCCCACCCCCAGGTAACAGCAGGAAGAGCCCTGCTCCTTGGCAAGTGCTTCCCGCCCCGGCGACCTCGGAGCCAGCACCCGGGACCCTGCTCTGCGGGAACACAGACCCCATCCAGGTCCTTCCTCACCCACACCCCAATGTCTGTGCACCTCCCTGGGGCACCTACTCCGGCTGCCACCAAATCTGGGCGTCCAGACCCCTCTGCTCAAGTCGAGGGGCTGCGTCGGGCTTTTGGGTTTAGTTACACATTTGTGCGCACTTTAAGGGCCTGACGAGCACCAGACAGAGAACTGGCCTCATGTGGCGCTGCCTTTGGTGGGATGCAGAGGCCACACCCTCACGCACACTGTTCCAAGCCTCGCAGACCCAGCAAGGACCCCTTCTGCTGGAAGGGGTCCTGATCCAGGACTGTTTCCCGGCTGGAAACACCAGGCTCAGGCACTTTTCGGAGCTCCTGTTTCACCAGGTCTGGACTCAGGACCGCCCCCCCCCGCCCCCCGCCGGTCGGGGGAGTCTGGAAATGGAGCCAGTGACTTGTGGAGATCCGCTCTCAGTCTTTCAATAACACAGTAAAGCAGATTTTGTCACCCGAGTTTCCAGACGAGGAAATAGGCTAAGATTAGGTAAGACCCCCACCAGCGTCAAGGGCGACGAAGGGGCAGATGGGAGGAGGGCCTGGGTCTCCAGACTCTTCCCATCCCAGCGGAGACCCTGCCCAGAGCACACCCTTCCAGAGGCGCCGTCAAACAGCTGCACTGGCCGGTGGCTGCTGGGCTCCCTCCCAGGGTCCAGAGCAGCCACGGCTGCAGGTGCACATGTGGAGCTGGCCGAGGGAAATAGGCTAAGATTAGGTAAGACCCCCACCAGCGTCAAGGGCGACGAAGGGGCAGATGGGAGGAGGGCCTGGGTCTCCAGACTCTTCCCATCCCAGCGGAGACCCTGCCCAGAGCACACCCTTCCAGAGGCGCCGTCAAACAGCTGCACTGGCCGGTGGCTGCTGGGCTCCCTCCCAGGGTCCAGAGCAGCCACGGCTGCAGGTGCACATGTGGAGCTGGCGGAGGGGGGGTGGGGGCGGGCAGTTCACTTGGGAGCCACCGGAGGAGGAAAAAACGAGTTAATTCACTGGAGCATTATTCGGTCATTTCCTGCCCTGGGTGAAGAGATGTCATTACGAATTGAGTTACTCTATAAACCCTTTCCAGATAGAAATAGGATGCCTTCCACGCAGACACACCAGTAGGTTGGGGATGCACTTCCCTGATGCATGCACTTGTCAGGGGAAACCTAATAAGCAGGGGCGAGCTCGGCACCCCGATTCAAATGCTGCCCAGCCTGGCCTGCGGGGCTTGACTCTCCCCTCCCACCAGCAATATTTGAGCTGGGTTATTAAATAAATATTTGTCCTGATCCAGTAAAAATCACATCCTCTCCCTCTGCCTTCACGAGTCCTCCTGCAACTTCCCAGAGAAGGGGGAGGGACAGAGGAATCTCCACCACAGCAGGACTCCTGCTTCTATGACGAGGGGGGATTTGTTTACAGGAGAGATTTCCATTATGAAAACACACGTGTGGCTGCCAGAGGTGGGGTGGGGCTCGGGAGAGTTTGGGGAGGGGGGTTGGAGGGGCTGAAACGGGCCCAATGAAAGGAACAGGATCGAAAGGTGCAAATTTTCGGTTACAAAATAAGTAAGTCCTGGGGGTGCACGGGACAGCCTGGTGGCTACAGTTCGTAAGACGGTGCTGCAAGTTCTCTTCACAGGAAAAAAACCTCTTATAACTGTGCGGTGATAGATTTTAACTAGACTTATTGGGGTGATCACTTCACAATGCAAAGATCAAATCATTACGTTGTACACCCGAACCTAACATAATGGTTTTCTAATTTTTTTCTTTTTTACTTTTTATTTTTCTTTTTCAAACAGTTTATTTGTTGTTTAGCTTACAAATGACCAAGTTTTTTTTGGGGGGGGGTTTGTTTTTTGTTTTTTACAGGCCACGCTGTCTCTTTTTTTAAAATTTAATTAGTTAATTTATTTATACAGCAGGTTCTTATTAGTTATCTATTTTATACCTATTAGTGTATATATGTCAATCCCAATCTCCCAATTCATCCCACCGCCCGCTTTCCCCCCTTGATGTCCATATGTTTGTTCTCTACATCTGTGTCTCTATTTCTGCCTTGCAAACCGTGAACCTGACATAATGTTATATGCCAACTGTATCTCAATACATACACACACACACACAGAACTGGTTGTGATTTCATGCAAATGAGACATTTTGCGTCTGAAGGCTGAAGCTCATACATCTCAGTTCCTCTCCCCACCCCAACTCCCAGGCCAATTCTACTTGCCTCCGTTGACAGTTGACGGCAGCTCACTGGTCCTGGCTGGGAGGCTGACCCCTTGGGAGAAGACGCAGCCCCTGACTTCCAAGTCCTCAGCCATAAGGAGAGTCCGTCGGAATCAGACTGTCCCCTGGCCGTGAGCTGCTTGGACTTGGTTTGGGTGGAGAGCATTTTGCACCCTTTTAATTGAAGAATCTAGTGATGACTCGGGAAGCAAGAGAGGACGTGGTACCAGGGTTCCCCGCCCAGGACGGTGCTCGGCTCACGCTTGCCCCACCCTGCCCTGTGCAGAATCCCAATTCCAGACGCCCACCAAGCCAGTCCCAGAACCTGGTGTGCAGCGTGTACTACCTCTGGCTTCACATGGCAACGTGTGCAAGCACATGTCTGTGTTGCCTTGCATTTTCCAAACCGCCTCTGTAAGCCTGGGCATCAGCTACGAGAGCCTGACTGACCCGAGGGACAGCGTGGAAGAAAGCTTCCCAAAGGCTTGCAGGAGGGCAGCAGGGAGTCCTCTCGAAGCCCCCTCTTCACCCCGACACTGGTCCCTGCAGAGACAGAGCCTGTGAGCGTAATCTGCCCACCTGCCCCCAGACCTCCACCCTCTCTGTCTCCGGCGGTTGCTGCGGTTTCATCCTGGTTTCAAGTGGGCAGCAAAGAGCTGTGTAGGCCACCTGGGGTGTTTGGTCACCCTGCCCTTTGGATACACCCTTGTGTTTGCTGCAGTCTTAAAGGCCTGTCAATGTCTTCCTGTTACTGCATAGACATTTTGGAAAGTGCTGATATGTGTTATTCTTATACATGTTTTTTCTTTCTTTCCAAGTGTCCAAACCTAGGAGTGGGTTTGAGGATTTAGGGAAAAGGTGACCTTGCTTCTCATTCTGTAATGTCCGCTGCTGTGCACAGGGTCAGATGGAGAATGAACAGGCAGATGCATTTTGTGGACTTTGAGCTTGACGAGATGCAGCATAGTTCTGACCTAGATTCCCCTTTCTGAGCCTCTGGAACAATTTACCCCACACTGATGGAAAGAAAGTGGGATCTCATGACCAAATTCACCAGGCATCACTTTAAATCATGGCATTTGTCCCAGGATCTCAGGATGATGATCTCAAGTTGCAAGTTGTAGCAACGCTGGAACGGATTTCACATCGCACCATGTACAGGCTGGGATGTCCTTTGCAGGTGCATCCGAATTCTACTTATACCTAAAAGACCTTCAGGTGACTAGGGAAGGACAGAGGGAGCAAAATAAAAATAGCAACTGAAGAGATAATGAAGAGAAGACTGATTCTAGTTCGGGGTCACAGACCTAACGTCTGTTTTCTGCCGGCACTTCTGGCTCCGGGCATTTCAAAATCAACACGCTCCAATTAGGCCAAGGGCACCGTTAGAGATGATCCCTGAAACAGCAACGCAGAAATGATGCAGACCCAGATGCAGAGTGACGGCAGGACAGGAGGAGCATGAAGAATTTCCACGACTGCAGCAAGTGCCGTGGGTGGATCTGGAGCGTCCGGTCCACGAGGTGCAGGGCTCTACTTCCACTGGGGACCCCACCGTGAGCTGCTCCAACCCCAGTGTCTGGATTTACAAAACCCCCGAGCCAAAGGGCGATTAAGTCTTTGGACAAAGACACCTGTCGGCTCCTTGGAAGGGTGAGCTCTCCTGGTGTACTTAACATGGAAGTAGATTGACAGCAATCTTCCAGTGGGCCGTGGAAGGGACCCACGCACGGTGAGATGCCAAGCAGCAGCGGGTAGCTCCCGGGACCCAAACCGGGGGGTCCGCCCCTCTGCGGCCCGGAGCCCCACTCTCCGCTTGCCAGCCCACACGGCCGGCGATCTGGGGGCTCTGCACACGATGCCAGGTCGCCCAGGGACGGTGCGCACTCCTCTGCAGTTCCCCCCAGGGAATCCCTCCCATCTCACACCCAGCAACCGGTGATGTGCTTGCAAGGGTTTCAGAAAGTGAAAAGAACAGCACAAGCGTACTCCCAGCGTTAATAAAAGTGACTGGAAGAATGAGTCGTCGTAGTTACAGGGAGGGCCTTGGCTGTGGAAGCATTATTCCCACTGTGAGGGGAGCCCGGCCGCTCTGGAGGGCTCCTTGGCCCGGCTCACGGGGCCCGAGGTGATTAACTTTGACGAAGCTTATTTGGGGTTTGTGCTCATTTTTGTGTTCTCAGCACTGCTCCAGCCACAGGGGAAAAGTAAACGCAGCTTCTGCGCCCGACTCTCCCATCACTGGCTGCAGAGGCTTTCAGTCTATAATTAACTTGTAATGTTTCATTTCTCCTATCGCAGGGAGCGAGCTTTCAGGGAGGATGCCTCCTGGGCAGGTGCTAATTGCTAGGCTCTGAGGACAAGGTGATGGCAGAGCAGGACAAACGGGGCAGTGCCCCCCACGTGCAGTGTCCACGAACTCACTCTGCCCCAGCAGGAAACCCAAACACCCCAGGGAGAAGCGCTGGATGACAGGTATTTACTTAAAAAAACCAGAAACTTCTGCTGGCAGTTTTGGGTCATAGAAGGAAGCAGAGGTGAAATCATATCCTTATATGTTCCAAGCTGTATCCTGAGGCCGGCTCTGGGGTAGAGTCGAATAGTCAAGGAGATGCCTTGTCACGGTCATTCTGAGCATCTGCCTGGCAGTGGGAAGGCCCGTTGGTACTAACGGTTGGTACTAACGGTTTTTGCAAATGCGTCTCCCTCCCCTGTGGTTTCCAGTTATCTAAGCTGCCGAAAGCAGAACGAGCACTCTGGACAAATCTATCCCGTGCACGTCCTTCTAAAGCCGGGGCCGGTCACTGGCCAGGACCCAGCGGCCCCTACGGGGCTGACCAGCTCGTGCCGGGGCTGGAGAGGACGACAGCTCATCGTCCCGGAAAGGGCCCGAGCGGCTGCAGCGAGGCTGCGGTCCCAGGAGATCTTTGCTGGGAGGACTTCCTCCCCCCTCCCCCGCTCCCCCCTTGTCAATCCTCCTCAAATCTCTGTGGCGTCACCCCCTCCCAGACGGGACAGCCCCACTGCACGCCTCTTCCGTGGCTGGATGACGGCACGCCTGCACCCCCGGACTTGAAGCAGCTTGAGGACAGCTTGAGGATGTCTTCGCATCGTTATGTCCCGGACACCTGCTCACCTTGACACGGGCGAGCCCCAAGTAGTCATTAAATACACCAATGTGCACAAAAGTGGTCTCAGAGTCCTCCCCAACTCTGGCTGCTTCGTCCAGAGCGAGGGATGCAATGAGATCCTTCCACGCCCCTGGCCCTGCCTGGTCATCCTCGGGGAAACATGGGAATGACAGTAGGTAAGGCTGTCTGAGTGCATCAGAAGGGTCTCTCTCAAAAACCAAACCAAACCAACATGAAATGAAATGAAACGCTAAAAGCAACGGAAGAAACTTCCCAACCTAACTCCAGCCTGATTGCTCTGACATGACGCAGAAGTGCCACCTTCTTGGTACAGGAAGCCAGGGACTTTGCGCCGGCCACAGAGCCAGGCCCAGCCGTGCACCAGGGCTGCTTTAAATGGCTGGGTGCCTCAGCTCGTGCTCAGAGCTCACACAGACCTGCGCTTTCTGGAACGCACGGGAACCCAGCCTGCTGTGTTCCAGAGCCACTGCGCTGTGAAAATTCCACACACCTCACGAAGCTGACTTGGATCCCCCCGTGACAAGCCCCTTCTTTGGCGCCATCCTGGGGTGAGCATCTCCCCAGCACCTGCCCACGGCCCCCCTTCCAGCCAGGCTCTAGTGTTGAGCGGTGTGGCCACCGGGACCCCCTTCCTTCCCCTTCTGTGCTGGTTCCTGCCCACTGCAGCCCCTGCCCCAGCGATGCTGTTGCTATTTCCCAGGCGCCTCAAGTCACCAAAGAGTCACCAGGTTTCTCTCTACTCTTACCTCTGAAACCGAGTCTAATTGTGTGCACATATTCTATCACCGGCATCTAAAACTAGGTTAGCAAACTGCCCCTACCGCCAGTCGGAGTGCTTCCTGGGCTGAGGCGGAGAGCAGAGGAGAGGCTGTAGGGGTGAGGCTGGGAAGCTCGGCGAGCAGCGGGTTTTACGTGCCGTTTGTGTGAAAATGTCCCCAGAGGTGAGATCTGGGGCGGGGCCTGCCCACCCACCGGAGCCGAGGTGCCACCCCTTCCCGAGGCCGCGGACACCCCACACTCTGCGGGGAGGGGGGGGCGGGCAGACATGGGCACTGCCCTCTGCAGCATAGAGAGACTTTCACTTTGTACACATTCTGGTCAAATCCTAGCTCAGGAAAAGAAAACCCCAAAGCTAAGAGCTGTGCTTACCCAGTGGGAAAGGACCAAGGACCTGCTCCCAGAGGAGGCCTGCCGCCTCCACACGGGGAGCCTGGCCCCGTGGTCGGCTGGCGCCCCGGGAGCCGCCCACCCTGACCCTGCCCCGCAGAGCCAGCAGCCGGGCGCCGGGGCGGTGAGAGTCGGGAGCTTCTGAGCCGGCGTCCAGCTCCACGCCGCGTCCAGTCGGGCGGCTGGGAGCGCTGGACCCGGGGTCCTCCCTGGGGTGGGGGGACCGCAGTCCACATCCATCCGGCAGCGCGGAGCCGGCGACGTCCCCTGACTCTGACCCGACCTGCTCGGGCCCCTGAGCTCTTCCCAGTAGGCCTGACTGCTGGATTTGTCTGGACACCTGACCCGGCTCAGCAAGAATCCTGGTCGGTGGGTTTAGCCGGAGGCCCCTTACCCTGGTGCTTCCTCTTGGTCCCTTTCTGGCCCCTGATACGCCCCCTCCTTCCTTGCTGTATTCGGAGTTGAGCCCCACCTCTCTCCCGACGGCTGGACCCCCTACCCCCCTGCAGCGGTCCCCACACCATCTTGACAGCCCCCTGAGCAAAGTCTTCTTTCCGTCTTTAACAAGCGTCCCGAACGGCTTTGTCTTTTCTGGTCTGGATAATGTTTTTCTGCAGCAACTTCTCTAGGACTGCTGAGTGCGGGCGTGATCCTGTTTAGAGACAGGAAGCTGTACCGAATCTGGGCGCCCAGAGGCCCCAACCTGAAAGCTCTGTGCAGCCCGGGAGCGGCCGAGGGGCCCCTTCAGCCTTCTGCTGGGCCCAGGGTAGCCTCTGCTCTGCCCTCAGGGAGGTGGCCCGGCTGCAGGGCCACTGGGCAGGCCGGTCTCTGACAGGGAAAGTGTGGAAGGGGTTCCAGCCCTGGAGCCGCAGGGAAGGGGTGGCGGCCCCTGGTCTGCGCCGGGGAAATGCCTGCGCGTTCAGAACCCCCCGAGGGAGCGCACTCCTCCAGGTGACGGGTCTATACTGACCAAGGGTTTGTAGCCAGCAGCTGCCGACCCCCCTGCCCCGCCTCCCTGTGCTTTCTGTGCAGTCGGGACCCTGGCCTGCAACTTACGTTCCAGTCGATGGTGACAAAGAAAGGGTGGCGCTTCATCTCCTCTACGCCGTCCAGGCCAGCACCTGCGGTGACCACAGAGCAGAGGTGAGCATCAGAGCAAACCCGTGACTGCAGTCCTGCCGAGTTTCTGACGCAGCAGGGAGGGGGCTGGGGTCCTGACGCCCTCCAGGGGGAAGGAGCCCCCAGCTGCGACCTCTCCGGCCAGCTGCCCCCTCACAGCCCGCAGAGGCCACCACTCAGCCCTGCAGAGCTGTGACCAGGTGAGGTGGCAGAGAGGGGGGCAGGCAGGCTAGAACCTCCTGCTGCAGGTGTGGGGAAGCCCGGGCATCCGGGCAAGGAAGTGGAGGCCCATCCCAGTCTCCATTAGAGCCAGCATCAGGCCGGGCCTTCCAGAGGTTGAGAAAACGCAGGCGAGGGCAGGGTGGAAAATACAGCGCAGAGACCCTTATAAGGCTGCTCTGGGGCTTACAGGGAAGGGGAAGGAAGCCAGGGCCTGGAGAGGCCGTTTCTAGCAGGACGGGAACCTGGAGAGAGACGGAGGTGGCCTCTGTCCACCTGGGCCTGCACGAGACAGAGGTCTCTTGTCACCTGGACACTGTGTACAAACAGTGCTGCTTTGCTGGCTGCTTCTGCCTAATCTCTCCCTGCCTTGTTGCTTATGTGAAATCCTGAGCCCCAAGGGAGGAGGGATGGGTGAGGGCGTGCAGAGGAATTCGGACACCTAATGGTAGACACACGTCGTCATGCACTTGCTGAAGCCCGCAGCTACCCCTCCCAGAGTGAGCCTTGATGTGACCCGCGGGCTTCAGGCAGTAACGATGTGCCGATACTCTGCTTCCTCACTTCTAACAAGCGCGTCAAATCAGCAAGAGCTGACACCAGGGGACACTGCGCGACACCAGGGGACGCTGCACGCAGGGGTGACGGAGCACGTGGGACAGGCTTCCCGGTTCTGCACCCCGAGCGCTGGGGCCCAGCCCTGCCCCGTTCAGAGGCTCGGCCCGCGTCTGCCCCACTAGGCTGGGCCGCCCCCCCTCATCCCCGGGAGGGAGGCAGGCGGCTGCGAGGCCGGAAGCAGGAAGGTGTGGAGGACAGCGCGAGGCCCCCCGAGCCGCCGTGGTCACCGCGGAGCCCCCTGCCCGGCCTCGCCGTCCAGCCTGAGAAGCGGGAGGAACCTCCCCCAGGACGCCGGGGGTCCGGGGAGACACAGCCCGCTGTGAGCTCATCGCTTCCTGTTGTCATCTCTGGCCCTGTTTCCTGGTCGAAGCCGCAACATGGGCAGAAAAGGAGGCGCGAAGCTGCCCGTGGCATCGGGGTCGCCTCTAGGTGGATGAGGGCCCAGCTAGCTCCCACTCCTTGGGGAAGCCTGGCCAGGCCAGCATCCTGGGAAAGAGCCCCTGGCCTTGTCACCATGCTGGACTCCGGTGATCTGGTGATTATCACTTTGGTATGCAAATGGACGAACAAGGAACGGAGGAAGCTGTCAGACCCGGAATTTCCTCCTCTAGGGACACGGGGAAGTGTCGCGGGGCAGACACATCACAGGCGTTCTCCCGCTAAATGCCACCAACACCCAGTGCCTTGGACACCATCCCTACTCTCTAGATAAGGAACCAGCCTGAAGGAGGCTGGGTAACGTGCCCAGCACCAAACCGGAGTTTAGGAGCAGAACCGGAAGACAGATTCCGCTCCCCACCCCAGAACCCCACCCGACGTGGGTATCCAATTTGGCCTTTCGCCTGAGACATTAGGATATAATAAGAAATATATATTTTGGTCTTTGTCTCGGGCTCCTGGCCAGAGCTCCTAAGACGCTCGTAATTTCCTGAGTGATAAGAATGATGGAAGCGTCTCCGGGTTTTTTTTTTTTTTTTGCGGTACACGGGCCTCTCACTGCTGTGGCCTCTCCCGTTGCGGAGCACAGGCTCCGGACGCGCAGGCTCAGCGGCCATGGCTCACGGGCCCAGCCGCTCCGCAGCATGTGGGATCTTCGCGGACCGGGGCACGGACCCGCGTCCCCTGCATCGGCAGGCGGACTCTCAACCACTGCGCCACCAGGGAAGCCCACATCTCCTGTTTTGATGTCTGGCTTTGGTCACTGGCTCCTGGAGTGAAAGAGGCATCTCTTGTTACTCATAATAAGCCCCTCTCAACCACACCTGAATTTGTCTTAATGAGGTGACTTGTGGAAAGACCCTACAGATGGAGCCAACCCTGTGACGAGGCTTGGAACTTTCATCCACCTCTGACGAACTCGCCCACACGCCCCAACCCCAGGGAGCAGAGAAGGGCTGAGACTGAGTCCAGTCGCCAATGGCCAGTGATTGAATCAATCACACCTACATAATGAAACCTCCAACAAAACCTGAACACCTGGGTTAGGGGAGTTTCTGGGCTGGTGAACAACCAGGAGGGTGGCTCCCCCCAAACCCCAAAGGGACAGAAGCAGCTGGGCTGGGGACCCTTCCGGACCTCGCCCTATGCACCTCTTCATCTGGCTGTTCACCTGATCTTTTAGAACATCCTTTGTAATACATTGGTAACAGTAACTCACTAAAGCGCTTTCCTGAGTTCTGTGATCTGTTCTAGTGAATTATCACAGCTGAGGAGGCGGTCTTGGGAGCCCTGGGTTTACAGCTGGTGGGCCGGAAGCACATGGACAACCTGGCACTTGGGACTGGCATCGGAGATGGGGTGTCTGGTGGGAGTGACCCTGACCCTGGGGTCCGACATAACTCTGGGTGGTCAGTGCCGGAACTGAGCTGAATCGTAGGACACACAGTCGGTGTCTGCAGAGAGGTGGAGCATCAGTTGGTGTGGACACAACCCCACACGTCCGGCGTCAGGAGTGTTGTTACGAGTAGAGACAAACAGTTTTATTGAGGACCTCATGCTGAGGACCCTCCGGATGTCCGTGTCCATCCCTCGCTGTGTAAACCCCTGACCTGAGTGCGGAGATCTGGTCTCAGCCTGGGCATCCCCACCTAGAGGCCCCCCACAGGTGCCCAAGCAGCTGCTCGAACAAGATGTCGAGAATGAACAGTCTGGCTTCGCGCCCACCTGCGTGCAGCCCTCCTTTGATGAAGACCAGAGCTCGGGACTGAAAAAGCCTTCTGGCCACGACGATTAAAGAGAAACGAAAAACCGCCTCTGATTTGTACCTCTTCCCGCTCTTTTGGGTGAACGCTGGTTGCGTTGCCAGAAGCTCTGTGGGTTAGTCAAAGGTGGGGGACTGGTGCTTACACGTTGAGCCCAGGTAGAGGCACCTGTACCGTGACTCACTGACTGTGTGACTTTGAAAAATCTACTTGGCATTTTGTACCCACTGCATTTCATGCTCATTCATCATTTGCAAGCACGCTCTGCAAGAATCAAAACGAAGCAAAACGGAAAGGAAATACAGGTGTTGGTGTAACTACAGTTGTTTGCTAGTACCAGCTGGGTTTTCTCGGGCGCCTACTCAGAACATTTTTATCTGCATCTTCGTTCTTCCACTGCAGTGAGATTTTGCACCACGTTCGTGCTTCGAGGCCTCAACAAACACTCGAGAGTGAATTAACACTTTGGTTATTACTCAAAAATTCCAGGTGTTCCAAAGAGGGGAAAACGTAAAAGAGAAAGAACTTCTGCACAGAGTTCTCTAAAGCCTTTGTCAACCTTCCTAGGGCACATGGGGTTATTATTTTGGATTCTAGTTCTATTTATCCTCTCCTGAAACATGTTAAAAGAGTCTACTTTGTGCCGGACAACTCTTTTTTGTTTAATACATTTGACAAACAGCAGCGAGGGGAGGTCCGAGCTGGGACAGTCCAGAGATTGTGTCTGTGTCTGTCTCTGAGTCTCGGCTGACTTGCTGTGGGATCATCACCAAATGCACTCAAGTCTCACTCTGTCCCCAAGAGGAGGGCTCACGAAGAACTGACAAGAACAGGTACTTGTGGACAGAAACACGGGGAACGGAAGAACAGCATTCTCTCTATGCAGTTTGGCGAGTCTCGATTAAGATCCCCAATGCCTGGCAAATATACAGAAAGAGTTCACTGGGGCAGCAGCTTCAAGAATTCATGCTTATTCTCTGGTGTATGAACATTTAATTACTTTTGCTCCTATCGCTTTTGGGCTGTCTTCCTGAACCTCTGTATCTGGACCCCCGTCTCGATTTCTCCGCGTTGGTTGAGGGGTAGCTTTGCATCCCACTGGAACGGCCTTCCACCGGCACGTGGCTGTAAAACGCAGCGCTGTGCCCGAGGCTGGGACCTGTTCTATGGCCCTGGGTACCTGCAGCCCTTTCACCTCACATTTTTAACGAGGCGACCCCGTTCCTTTCCTCCTGGGCTTAATCGTCAACGGGCTTCCACTTTCACAGTAAATCATCCCCAAAAGGTTTGGGGATTGGCCAAAAATGTTTTCCTTGAATCTTCCTGTCCACAGATAGCTTTGGGAAGTGTTTAATCCCTGGACCCTTGTGACTCTGTTGAAATATTTGTTTTTGTCCTTTGAGAGTCACACAGAGTCCCTCTCTAATTCTTCTGGGCTTGTTCAGAATAAACTCACGTCGGGCTCTT